AAAAGGTCCCCTGCCGTGGTACTGTAGCCGCTGCAGAGGCAGACGCCAAACGGCTCATCTGCCGCACCGTAGCCACATGCAGGGACAGGCGCAGAAATCAGTCCTGCTGTGTTATCTAGTTACTAGTGCAGCATGTGCGCTGTACTAGGACTAGATGGATAGAGTTGTATAAATAGACTGCCACGGTAACTCAGTAAAGAAAGTTCAGATTTGCCATCTCCCATACAGGGCTTCGGTCAACACTAGTGTCTTGTGCTATGTGTGTATGCTCTGTTCTAACTCTTCTTCAACTTCTAGCCATAGTGTGTGGGAACGGACAATGCTTGTTCGTGGTCGGCTTAGTTAGTGGATGCTTGGCAACACTAGCAGATGCTCAATAAAACTGATGAGTGATCAACTCACCTGAGCCGATGATCGTGTGGACTAACAATACGCAGGTTTACCGAAGCGTGATGGACACTGCTACTGCTGCTGCTATGGTAGATAGTAAACGCGTCAGTGTCGGTTTGAGGAATTAATCCATCCTCATCTGTCAGACCATTACCTGCTTAATTAGGATCATTCATGTGTGCTAGTGCCTGATTTGCCAGTTGCCTGCTCTGCGCTGCTCACTGTCCATTTCATGCATGAACTCGTTGGTTTATTATCGGATCGTGTCTCTTCAGAGACCTCACTGACTGAGCAATTAGCAGTGAACACAGGTTGCGTTGTCTCTTTGGTATTCAGGTTATCAGGATTCAATTGCCAAGTCATTTTCCTTCTTATTACTGACGATCGAGCTGAGCTACTACCACTGCACTGCTACCATGCATATCCTAATGCACACACCTCCCTCATTAGGCTCCTCCAAAATTTCCTGCTTGCTACTGCTAGTGCTAGCCAATCAATAATGGGCGCCGATCGAGATTAGGTGTTGACGTGCCATCGATCAAGCGGCGAAGATTCAGGACGCGCTCATTTATGAATGCAGTGAAGGCACCAATGATTTGTCACATGGCCGTAGTAGGCTAGTAGCAGAATACTGCTAGTGGTGTATAATAAGTTGCATGCAATTAGCCCTCTCTAGCTAGCTCTCTGTTATATATATCTTTCTTTGAAATGACATAATCTTTTCCTCTCTAGGCCGGGCATCTCTTTAGCCTCTACACAGGTTGTACGTCAATACTTTTGTTTGTACCTTCCTCTATGCTAACTTATATTCTCTACTAGCTCATAGATATATATGAAGATCTTCTTGCTGTCGAATAGTGCTTGTGTATGCTACTACCTCCGTCAGATAGATTATGCATCATCTGAAGATCTTCAAATCTATACTAGCATACACCAGGAGGTCAAAAAAGCGAAGATATATATGAACTTTCTGCAGAACTGAAATTCTGAATGAATCCAACTGCAGGAGCCAGGCCTTCACCTACTTTCACGCTGTCTGCAGAAACGAGGTGCCCATCGTATGGTACGTACTGTTCACTATCATCAAGTGTCACTGTGACTTCCCACTGCTAGTTAAACAACCATTTCCAGTTCCACGAAGATTACAAGAGATGGCGTCAGGTCTCGAGCTTCCGCGGATTAGATGATGGCCAGTAACATAATAATAATTCAGTTCTTCCCAAGTGCTGACCAAACCGGCCTGCCTGCCGGTGCCACGGATTGGAAGTACAGGTAAGCACAAACGCACGGCATATGTTTCCTTTTCAAGAAGTGATCACTGCAGCGAGCATGGACTGCTCCAAATTCCAAAAGAATATGCACAGCTGCGATGAAAACAAAATCGGAGAAGACGACAGACAGCCTGTTCGTTCGGCTGACTGGTTTGTATCGTTGCTGATTCATTTACGTGAGAGAGAAGTATTGCTGACTAGTTCAGATGAACAGTATTTTTGTGAGGGGGCTGGCTAGCCCAGCCAGCCAACCCCAGCTGATCACGCTGAGACGACAAAACATCAGTGCTAGTACAGACTATGCGCAACTATGACAACAATGGTAAGGTCTTATTTAAATCCAGGTGTAAAGTTTTTAGGTGTCATTGTTATATTAGATGTCACATTGTGTGTTATATGGGGGTGTCGTATGTGGTTCGGATACTAATAAAAAAATAAATTACAGAATCCGTTAGTAATCCGCGAGATGAATTTATTAAACCTAATTAATCCGTCATTAGCACATGTGTTACTATAGCACCATATTATCAAATCATGGACTAATTAGACTTAAAAGATTCGTCTCGCAAATTAGTCGCAAACTGTGCAATTAGTTATTTTTTAATTTATATTTAATACTCCATACATACGTCAAACATTCGATGGGATACGGAGTAAATTTTAGGAGGAACTAAACAAGGCCTAAATTTGGTAATAGGCTGAGATGCAACGAGCTAATAAGCTCGTACGGACGAAACTAAACTAAGCAGCTAACTATAGGCGATTAGTCATCAGTAGATCCGTTATCTCAATCATCAAGAGAGGACAGTGATCTATCCATATTCTAATTTCTATGGGTCCTCTACTGAATAGCCAGCCAGCCATTTCAGCAAGCAGCAGCTACCTAGATAGCTAGCTATAGGCTATAGCTCGCTCGCTCTAGAAGATAAGTCTGAAGTCTCTGCTGGGAATATGTTATTTCCTTGCTTTCACTCTCCAGCACTCTACCTCCACGGCACGGCACGGCGCAGCGTCGCTGTAGGTGATATATATGCACTCAATCAATCTTGCCGCTGTCGACCTACAGGTCCTCAAGTCATCATGTCTTGAAATCATAAGCAAAGCGAAAGAGCGATATATGCAGTACATTGAACCTGAGTTCCTCACCCAGTTCGTTCCCTGTCGATCAGTCTATCCATCTAACCACAGCCAACAAGCTAGCAGTGATGCAATGGTAGCTGCTTCTGAAATACTACTGTGTTGTTCCTAGCTACTTGGATAAGTACGGCTCTATCTGCCCTAAAATGACCGCACGTCTCGCTCTTTGACAAGTTAAACACAGCTTTTAAGTTTAACTAGATTTAGAAAAAATATTACCAACATTTGTATCTCTTAATATATTTATTATAAAAATATATTGCACTTATCTGGCGATACTTATTACGCGTTATAAACATTAGTAATTTTTGTATATATTTAGTTAAATTTAGAAAAACTGAGTTATCAAAAATGAGATGTACAATTATCTTGTGATGGAGATGGATGTTTTTCTAGGTTGTGGGGTGCAAGTGCGATTGGTGACACAGTACATGTTGGTAGCTTGTAGGCATGATTAACACTGCATTAATTTCAGGTTTAAGATCACGGGGTCCATGCCAATCAAAAGAGCTCACGGCAATAATATATTTGTTCTGTCTCAGAAAAGAAAGAACGGTCCTAGATCTTTGCTTTTGGTTTCAGACAGTTCAAGTATCTTTTTTTGTTTCTTGTCATTTTGTACTTTGCAGCACAAACCATTGACGCATGCATCTTGTTTCTTCTCAACTATTTTCGGTGATCATTATTATATATACACGTATAGTACACAGCTGTCCCGGTTGTCACTGCCGGCTAAGGAATTGTCTGGATGCCCACGTATCCATCTCAAATCATCTATGCTGGAGCGGGTTGGTGTGAAATTAAAGAACGTAGATTGGTACAGGGCACAAACAGTCGTTTGAGCATGCACCACAGCGTTCACGGTCAATGGTAGAGCTCGAAGTAAGATCTAGAAGGGACAATGATTCTTATATCAAGCTGATATTAATATTTAAGCATAATATAATCACCGTTTACTCCAAAGAAACCCGATCGAAATACCAGGGAGGCCATAGCTGCCTTTGACATGCACTCACCTTCTTCATTATCGCTATCAATATAGAGATGTCATGATATTTTCAGTTAAAAAAAGTTGGATTAATTTTACACGGTTAGTTTATTAACATAAATAAGCATTGATTCGAACCAAGTTAAGAGAAGGCTCCAGTGTATTCAAGGAAGCCGATCGAGGTCGGTAGAAAGATTGGTTTTGGGGATCGGTAACCGCATTTTAAATTGCAATTTTATAGGCGCTGAATTGAAAACGAGGCCATGCAGGCGCCCTAGGCAAGAAAACAAGGCAACAAGAAGCCGATCAACTTGACCACTACAACAAGTTGCTGTCATTGCAAGCTATTTATAGCAGGAAACCATGGGCATTGTCTGTAGCCGGCCGATAGACGATCCCAAGGGAGAAAACAACAAAGGGCACTGCGTAGATCCAAACGATGCACACATATATATAAAACTCTCTCTCTCTCTTGTATACTCGTCTCCTAGCTCGCGCAGCTACCCGTACATTGTACACATTAATCAGCTCCTCTCTCTCTAGAAGTCTATATTACTCTCGAGACATACTAATATCATGTTAGTCATCACTGACACACATACGGAAAATGACAAGTACCTAGCTAGGACTGTGCTCCCTCCATTCAAACACACACAAAAAAAAATGCAACTTTAAGTTTGGACTAAGCCAGACTTTCGTTCTTACATTTAACTCTCCTTATAGAAAATCATATCAAAATTTATGTCTTCAAATAGATTTTTATAAAAACATATTATATGATCATTGATCAATTTAATGGTACTTGTTTGGTAGCATAATGTTAATATTTTTTTACATGAATTGGTTAAATGTATATTATTTGATTTTTTGGAAAACGATAATTGTATTTTTTTTAGGGAGGAGGGAGTACACAGAAAGGTACTAATTGGAATGTGGTGAGGTGTGAAAGGCAGCATGGAAAAGTGAAAGGATAAATACGAGACCAACCACCCCCGCTTCCCTTCTACTGTCTGCTGTCTGTCTCTCAGACAACTGGAGAACACACACTTCCTCCTTCCCTCCCCCCTCTCTGCAACAAACAAGAGTGTGTATAGTAGTGATGTGATGTAGAAGGTGTCTGTCTCTGTAATTTGTTGATCTCGCTAGCGCGTGTGTTTTTGGCGCATGCGTGCGTGCGTGCATGCAAGGTTAGTTGCTTGCTGTCATCTGGATCCATGTCGGGAGCTGCTGCTAGGGAGTTCACTGCCAGCAGCAGCTTCTCTTCTGTGAGCAACACACCTAGGGAGGTGGAGGAAGAGTTCTTGCAGTACCACATCAAGCCACTCCTCGGTGGCCCGATGGAGATGCGAAACGACGGCGATCTCCAACGCGTCACCGGCGCCGGCCCCTCGGAGCCGCCGCCTGCACCACCGCCACCGACTGTGAAGAAGAAGAGAAGCCTTCCGGGGACACCAGGTTCTTGCAGTACACTGATTCTTAATTAGTCCCATCATAGCTAAAGCTACATGCAGATGCATGCATGGAGAGATTACTATCTCCAATTCGAACCGAATATTATTAGGACGTATGCTAGTTCTTGAGAATAATTGATATGACTAGATCAGCAATGGCTTCTTTCCATTGCGCATCTTTAAGGTCTTTCGCAAATCTTGTGAACTCTAGGCTCTAGCTATGATTGATAGGGCAGAACGTTCAATTATGACAGTAACTGTTTAGCAGTTCATGGCCCGTTCGCTTCGTTGAAAAAACAAGCCAAAATATTGTTTCGGTTGATTTGCTATGAGAGAAAAACATTGTTTCAACTAAAAATACAAATTAAAAAGTACGAGAGAAGTGAACAGGCATACCTCCCTTTCACCGAAGACTAGCGGTGATAAGATGACGACATACATACTGTAAGGGAATATTTTGAACATTGTTTGTGGCAGCTTGAGTTAACTTGGTAGATAGCTAGATAGATCCTCAATACATTCTTTAATGCAATTAAACTGTAATAATGGCATTAATTAGCTTCTTGGTAGAAAACGATCGATCCCATGAAGAATGAGGTCAGCAACAGCTAATTGATTCTTGTATTATTCTTCAGACTGAAACCATCAATACATTTTGAGCTCAAATTTCAACCATACATACACTTTGATAAATAGTGCAACATTGTCCTGGAAGATTTCTTTAAAAAAAAATATCAGTTGTAGCTGACAACTACTGCATGTACTGTATATACTATATGCTCCAATTTGTTGCGCTGAATACTGATGATGAGGCGTTTATATGTCTTTGCATGCAACGACGACCGACGACGAATTATTGACGGTGATGAAGACCCGAGCGCGGAGGTGATCGCGCTGTCGCCGCGGACGCTGATGGCGACGAACCGGTTCGTGTGCGAGATCTGCCACAAGGGTTTCCAGCGGGACCAGAACCTGCAGCTGCACCGGCGCGGGCACAACCTGCCGTGGAAGCTGCGGCAGCGCGGCGGAGGTGCGGACGGCCCTGGAGGCGGTGGCGGGCCGCCGAGGAAGCGGGTGTACGTGTGCCCGGAGGCGTCGTGCGTGCACCACAACCCGGCGCGCGCGCTGGGGGACCTGACGGGGATCAAGAAGCACTACTGCCGGAAGCACGGGGAGAAGAAGTGGAAGTGCGAGCGCTGCGCCAAGCGCTACGCCGTGCACTCCGACTGGAAGGCGCACGCCAAGGTCTGCGGCACCCGCGAGTACAAGTGCGACTGCGGCACCGTCTTCTCCAGGTCAGTCAGTCGTCGCGCGATCGCGTCGGCGTCGGCGTCGGCACGGGTGGCCTCAACGCCATTGGTGCTAACTTCTTCAGCATTGCATTTGCATTGTTCATCCATATCGATCAGCATGTCTATTTTGTCTTATCCTACTGTAGCAACTAAGATTCCTGGGGAAGACCAAGGAGGATTTGTTTTTGTGGCACACCAACCTCAGAGTCCGTGCCTGCTCGGATTGGACTTGTTCTTCACCCTGACGACCAAACTATACTCCATCTTCATCACATTCACACGCCACACGCAGTGAAAGCTAGAGTTTGCATTGCCATGATGCATATGCATGGCGACTACACACAACACGCCCGCACTAGTATATATAGCTGAGGAAATAAATCTTTCAGACAATAATGTATGGGATCTGATGAACTAACTACACTTTCTAACTACGCTTTGTCTTTCTCGTAACGTTAAAAAAAAAGAATCACACAGCATCTGCGTTTTGCGTAGGGCACAGACGTACGTTGGATCGTGTGACCAGGCGTAGGTCCCTCAGTCCTGCATGCATCTATCTGAGGCCACGTTTAGTTACCCTTATTTCCCAGAATTTGATACTATGCAAAAAGAAAATTCCCGTCACATCAAACTTGCGGTACATGCATGGAGTACTAAATGTTGACGAAATCAAAAATTAATTACACAGTTTGGTGATACTCTGCGAGACGAACGTTTTGAACCTAACTAGTTAACGATTAGACAATTATTATCGAATAAAAACAAAATAGCACTGTAGCTACAGTACGGGCGGCGCCGAATCGGCTGATGAACTAAACGCGGCCTGAGTATCTTCTCATGTACATGCCGACATGCCGTGCATACATATAGATAGAATCTGTGACAGAAGTAATTTGTTCTTTAGGTGTAGTAATAATGTAACATCAGCATTGTTTTACCGATCCATATGATCTGAGTATCTTCTGGCCTAAATGGGTCGTTAATTTCTCACTGCTGCTCATCTTGGACACCATGAGTAGGCGAGACAGCTTCGTGACGCACAGGGCCTTCTGCGACGCCCTAGCCCAGGAGAACAACAAGCTATCGCAGCCCATGAACATGGCGACGGTGGCCTCCGCCCTCCAGGGCCAAGCCGCACCCCACCACCTGGCGCCGCCATCGTCGTCCCAGCCCGACGAAGACCTCGACGCCGCCGCCTGCGAGGACGACGACGACTTCGCCCTCGACACCAAGAGCCCGCGTCTGAGGATGCTCCCCGCCATGTCCGACGACGCCGGCGCCCCCAACCAGCTGCTCCTGCCGCCGCTCAGCATGGCCGGGTGCATGCTCTCCAGCCTGCAGCAGGGCGCCGCGAGGCCCGCGCCGCCTCCACCGCCGTCACCGGCAACTTTCTTCAGCGGGGGCGGCAAGGCAGCTGGCCTCGACGAGCCCAGCATGGGCGGCGCGTTCTCCCCGGCGGCCGCCTCGGCGAGCATGTCGGCCACGGCGCTGCTGCAGAAGGCCGCGGAGATGGGCGCCGCCGCGGGCGGGTACGCCGTGGGCGCGGGCGCGGGCTTCTCTACCGTCGGATTCGGGCCCATGCTGGCTGGGCCCGACCACCGTCTCCCCGTCATGGGCCCCTTTCGGCCTCTGAAGACTCCTGCGGTTCTTGAGCCGTACGATGGGCTGCCGTTGGGCCAGACGCAGCTGGTAGGCCTCGACGTGGGTAGGCTCTTGCCCGGACAGCAGTTCTACGGCAGCAGCAGCCATGGCCATGGGGTCGGCTCCATGACCATGGCCATCGGATCGCTGATGCACGGCGGTGGTGGTGGCCAGCAGCTGGAGCACCGGCGGCCGGACGACAGCCGCGTCGTGGATTACCTCGGCGTCGAGGACCAGAGGAGTTCCTTCAGTGCTGTCAGCCCCTTTGGGCCTTGGGCCTAGTATCTATGTAAGGAACCTGCTTGTTTCCTTCCTCGTGCAAATGCAAACTTACTACCCTTGGGCCGTGGTTTGTCTCCGGAGAGGTTGTTGGAGGTTTAACTGGGCCGGCCCAGTAAGAGGGTGAGGGTATTCTTGTCAATCTAGCATCACCCGAGTCCCCGGAACCGAAAACCCTAACCCACAAATCTCCCCCTATATAAAAGGCGTCTTCCTCCAATCCTCCTCTGTGCCGCAATCCCCACTCACGGCTGCTGCAGCCGCCGGAATCGTCAGGTTTGTTCATCGATCGGCTGGCATGGGAGCACGATGGTCGTCTTGTCCCTTCATTTTCTTCTCTGTTTTCTCTTTGGATTTGGATTTTGATTCTCTCTTTTTTTCTTCCTTGCTTTTGTCGCTGGATCTTACTGAAGGCTGTGATGACCAAAAATACCTACCTATTTTCTGAATCCTGACGATAGAAACCAATGGATCCTTCTGAGCCTTTCTAGGATATATATGCGATCTCTCTTCTCTGTTTGATTTTGGTTTTGCTTTGCTTTGGATCTGCTGTCGGCGGATTTTACCCCCCAAAAAAGGCAGGATCTTTTCCATGTTGATACGATGAAAAGCCTTTGACAGAAACTTCAATGTTGACCAAAAAAATCAGACTACAATTATCTGATCAACTCCAAAATCTTGCCTTTTGAAGTGATTTATATTTATTATCATTTATTTTGCTGTTTGTTTTCACCTTGAGGAAGTTGAATGATACGCTGTTTGCGATCCGTTCACAATAAGCCGATGCTCTGGATTATGAACACAGGAAGGAAGCATGGTAGTGTGCACGGAGATGAACAAGGTCTGCATGTCTGCTCGCTTTGATGCCCTCGGGCTTTGATCTCGCGGTCCTGGATTCGACCTACACGCTTGGTCCTGTAGATTGCTCAAATAGTTGAGATTTTTAAAATCTTTGAGTTTATGGATGCATTTGAACGAGCAACGATTCAGGCAGCCCCTTTGTCCGATTTCTATGGCAATGGAGGTGTTGCGTTGCTCGGAGAAGAAATCTTTTGGTCTTCAGATCGGCTGAGGGGGAGCTCGCCTCCCTCGTTGAGGCTGGTCTAGTAAGTCTTAAGAACATCTGTTTCCTTGTCTCTGAAAGTGTTCTCAATTAAGCACGTTTTCGCTATTTAATAGATTTGAATGAATGAATTGCTCATTCTTTTGCTATTCAACTAAACACATTTTTTGCTATTTAAATTTAGATAAAAGAATTACTTACAGAGACGAAGGTTTAACATGTTAACCTAAGCACGTTTTTGCTGTTTAGTAAATTTTAATAAATGAATTGCTCATTCTTGTGCTATTCAACTAAACACATTTTTTGCTATTTAAGTTTAAATAAAAATAAAAGAATTGCTCATTTACACGAGACGAAGGTTTAACATGTTAACCGCAGTAAAGAATTTTAACAGCTAAAGAAAATTATGGTTTGTCCTGAATAACAGATCGGTATGGTGACCGTAAGATTCTTGCTCAGTCAAATACTGTTGTGCATGCGGGATACGTTTTGAAGATCACACGTTCTATATCTCACACGTTATATATATCTGGGTCATAATTATTCATGCTGCCTACCTCCCGAGAAATTTAGTTACGTGGGACTCGCATTGTGCTTTGCACCCTCATGCATTCTGTCATTTGTAATAACTAAGCAACAGGTATTTTGTTGCTCCAATGCAATTAGTATGTGGGGGAGTGCTTCCCCCCTTTCGATTTCATAAAAATATCTAGGTAATAGAGCGAACACTACTACAATAATTTACTGTCTAATTCTTCCTATGTGTTAGGACCTTACACTATTATCTCATTATCTAAAAAAGGAGTGAACACTACTACCAGAATTTACCAAGCGAGGGATCACTATGGCCTTGTTTGGTGCCCACTTCGGGATAGCCAAAACTCAAATACTCAACTTGAAAATAGAGAAGTTAGAGGTTTGTGCTCTGCCGCAAAAGTGTTACAAGTGTGAATGCTTTGCCTAGCTATGTTCCAGGACGTGATTGACCACTGATGAAGTGATCAGTGACACTAAGGCTTGTTTGGTGCCCCTCCTAATTTTGTGCTCTGCCACAATAGTGCTATAATTGTTCGGCCTGTCCTCTGGTTGGTTTCTGGGCTGATAAGTCTGGCTGGTGCTGGTTTGTTGTGAGAGAAAAACACTGTTAGCTAACTGATAAGCTCTGGTTCAAATCAACAAGCGAACAGACCGGTTGAATTCTTCGCCTGGCTATGCTTGACCACTGATGAAGTTATCAGTGACACTAAGACGTGTTTGGTGCCCCTCCTAGGGCTCCGGTTTAGCTCTGCAGCTACATTTGCGAATCCAGAGCCACCTGAAACCTCGAGGTGATTGACCAATGATAATCTGATCAGTGATCACTAAGGCTTGCAGCCTGTTCGTTTGGTTGTGGCTTGTCGTAAACGATCGTAAATTTTTAGCCGAAACAATATTTTTCTCTCACACAAATCAGTCAGCAGTACTTCTTTACGAACCAACAACGAAACGAACCAGCCAACCGAACATGCTGTTGATCGGTGCCCCTCCTAGGGCTTTGGCTCCCCGGTATAGTTGGGTAAATCGGTTCTAGCTTTGGCCAAACTCAACTAGAAAATAATAAAAGTCGAAGGAGCAGTAGATTGAGGCTTCGTGCTCAGCTACAATAGTGCTACAATCGTGAATGTTTTGTGTGGCTATGCAACAATCGGTCTGTTCGCTGGTTGATTTCTAAATTGAAAAGCCCGACTAGTGCTGGTTCGTTGTAAGAGAAAAACACTGTTAACTGACTGATAAGCCATCGCTGAAACCAACAAATGAACAGGCTGAATAGCTCTACAATAGTTCTATAGTTGTGGAACTGGAGCCTTTAGTGTGGACTCCAACATCATCGATGGGCATGTGAGGTGAATTCTTTGTTCCATGGAGTTAGTGGTTTCCGAAGTCTGTTGCTTTGGTCTTCGACGATGAGGTTTGAGGAAAACTGTTGGGATTAAGATTTTTTACATATATCTGATTTACTCCTACATCCTATTGATTTCTGTCCACCTCATATTTTATCCTTAGTTAAAAAAAAACAAATCCGACACCTACACGAAAGTGAGACCAAATTTAATACAGTTGATACAACAATTTACACCCAAGCACATGCCATCTATTTTTCTTCCATAAAAGTTCACGCCTTCTTTACATATTTGCACAAAGCTGTTTATATAACAATAATCTAGCCATAATCATCATTGTTTTCAACATGTTTATTTGATATAAACATACTTGCAAGTTGCACATTTAGCCTGTTCGCTTGTTGGTTTCAACCAGCCCAAACCAGCCAGCCAACAGTGTTTTTCTCTCATAAAAACCCAGCACCAGTCAGCCTAAACCAGCATCAGCACCAACCAGCGAACAGACCCATTATCTGAATAGGTATAACTGTACAAGGCACCGTCTTCAAAGGCTAATCGGACCATGTATTCCGCGTCGGCCTCCTCTAGCATTTGCCCTGTTCACTTGTTGGTTTCAGCCAGGACTTATCAATCATTGTACAATGTTTTTCTCTCACAATAAATTAGCATTGACCGAGTTTATCAGCTCAGAAACCAACCAGCGAACAGGCTAATTGTCATCACCCATTCGTTCCATGATAGCACTGCCCCACCACTTCGTCGGAACCATGGTGTCTTTTTAAACATAACTCTCATCCGTTCCAGATAGCACTGCCCCACAGCTTTGCCGGAACCATGGTGTCTTTTTGAGCATAACTTTCCTCTCCTTGATTATGGTGTTTTTTAGAAAAAGGAATTTTTATTCCAGCCTCTGCATAAGTTAAGCACCTAACCATCCAATATTAGTTATTATAAGTCTAGCCTCCGGCTCAAAAAAAAGCAAGCTCTCAAAGAGCAGTCAAAACAAAGAAAAAAACTTATGCACCAGCACCTCTAGCTGGTTATATAAATCTAGATCTTTAAACCATGACATTTATAATAACTAGCAGGCCTCCCGCATGTTACCGCTATAAATGTCCATGCAGCCCGGGGCACGACGGCCCAGCCCGAAGCACGGCACGGCTTGGTGAGCAGCGGGCTCGGGCCGGGCCAGCCCGTTACACAGGGTCGTGCTTGGGCCGCTGCTCAAGCACGGTGGGCGGCACGGCACGGCTCGGTCCACAAGGGTCAGCCCGGTGGCGGCCCGGCCTGCTAAGGTCTCATCGTGCTAACCCTAACTCCCCCCATCTCACTCTCTCACCCCCTCCCGTGTAGCACCCTCCTAGGCTCCCCGCAGCGCCGCACTCTCGGAGTCTCAGTCGCCCCGCTTGCCTCCTCCGCTCCTTCCCTTCTCACCTCGCAGAGTCGCAGATCGTGCTTCCCTCTCGCCTCTTCCCCGCGCGCAACGGCGTCTCCCTCGTGCGCGGCCGCCGTCTCCCTCCTACGCGGCGTTCGCTGCCAGATTCAAGCGCACTACCGCCGTCTCCGGTCTACCTCCCGCGCGTGGCGTCTGCCTCCTCCATGCCTCCCCGCGCGGCCCCACCTCCAGGGCGAGCGCGCCGGCAGCCGGATCTGCCTTGGGGACGAGCACTCCAGCGGCGGCGGCCACCTCCCGTGGCTGCCCTGTCTCCTGCTCTCCCCTTGCCTCTCTCTGTGGGCCTCGGGCCAGCCCAGCACGCTGGATGGGCCGTGCTTTTCGGGCCGGTCCGGCCTGAAAACAACCTAGTAGACCGTGCCTGGGCCGTTGGTCAGGCACGACACCCGCCTCGGCACGGTCCGGGTGGCACGGCGTGGCGTGCCGGCCCGACCCCCTTCGGGTCGTGCCCTAGGTCAGCCCGTTGGCCATCTATAGTTGCCGTGGTGCTACTACTGTTAGGGGCTACCACGACATTGTTACATGGTTGTTGTTATTGTTGTGTGATTACTGCTGCGGAAACCCTTTGTTATTAGACCATTATTACTGTGTCGTGAAGATCAATAAAATCAACAATGGAACAACAACACTGTTTACTATGCCGTTTAGTCGTTTACTGTATCACTGCCAATTTAGTGAACAGAGCAACAATGCCGGCCATACATATATGAACTATGGCTGTGTTTGAATGTAGCCACCACAGCGGTCGAACACGGTCGGTATTTTTTTTCTTGATCATGCGAAAGGTCTGTACGTCTATATATTTTTTTAATATGGTTTGGTAAACATTTATCTTTGGACAACAAAAACCATAATGGCTCTGTTCGCTTCTCTTATAATCCATTTTTTTTAGCTTGTTTTTTTAGCCGGAATAATATTTTTCTCTCACAGCAAATTAGCTAGAATAATATTTCGATTTGTTTTTTTTAGCGAAGCGAACGGGACCGATAAACCTACATGACTGTATCATAGTGGGGCACACACTGACAGCTACTCCCCATCGGCCGTCTCATAGTATATAATAAAAAATAAAAAGAAATGCATTTCTCTCCGCACACACGAATACACGAAGCTTCCTGGGTGATGGTCTGATGAATAATGCAGGCCCAAACTGCAGTAGACCTGCGCCAGCGAGCGGCATGGCCGACCGGCCGATGGAGAGCAAGGCGGCAACCGGCAAGCACTTCATCCTGGTGCACGGCCTGGCGCACGGCGCGTGGTGCTGGTACAAGGTGGTGGCGCGTCTGCGCGCCGCGGGGCACCGAGCGACGGCGCTCGACATGGCCGCGTCGGGGGTGAACCCGGCGCGCCTCCACGAGGTGGCGTCGTTCGAGGACTACTCGCGGCCGCTGCTGGACGCGGTAGCCGCGGCCCCCGACGGCGACAGGCTCGTCCTGGTGGGGCACAGCCTCGGCGGGCTCAGCGTCGCCCTCGCCATGGAGAGGTTCCCGGGCAAGGTTGCCGCCGCCGTGTTCCTGGCCGCGTCCATGCCCCGCGTCGGCAGCCACATGGGCGTCACTATCGAAGAGGTCAGCTGCAATTCCTTTTCCGTCAGAAAATTAACTTCACCGCTGCCGTGATTGAGTTACTCGATGGTCAGTTTGCCATGCTTTCTGACGATGATCAGAAGATAGAACCGGCAGTAGTATCATTTTTGGGGGGGCACTTCTTCATCAGCCAAGCCAATTTGTTCATCACCTGTTTGGTTGTGCATCCATGCTAGATTAAGTGGTTGTCTGGTTTCTCCGTCTAAATTTTAGTCGCGGTGCCATCAGATGTTTATATACATGCATAGAGTATTAAATATAGACTAATTACGAAACTAATTGCATAACTTACGACTAATTTGCGAGATGAATTTTTAAACCTAAGTAGTCTATGATTTGACAATATAGTGCTACCGGAAATATGTGCTAATGACGGATTAATTAGGCTTAATAAATTCGTTTAGTGGAGTACCGACGAATTCTGTAATTTATTTTTTATTAGTATCCGAATACCCCATGCGACACCCTCACATGACACCTCCTAAATTTTAGTGAAACACCCCCTAATATCTTTTGCTTTCGTTGGTGCTAGTTCAAGAGGACGATCACACCAGATTTTTTCATGGACAGCACAACGATGGTTCTGAACACAAAGCAGGGGCCTCAAACTGCACTTCTATTTGGCCCCAACTTATTGGCATCCAAATTGTATGATCAATGCCCTGCCGAGGTAACAAACCTGTTTTCTCCCAAAATAAGCTACATACATGTAATTACTATTCTCAATTGTATACATGTAATTACTATTGAAAAGTATATATATATATATTTATTTATTTATTTTACAAACACACTAATATCACTTCCTTTACCATTGAGAACGAACAACGAACATATAAAAGAGAGAATACTTTGTATGTACTAAATGAATCAAATCTTCACAAAAAAAAAAGTTTACAGAGTCTATCTAAATAAACAAAAAAAATGGCAAACATGGAACCATAGTACTGATTTTGAATTGATTTGGGCAGGACCTTGAACTAGCGAAGCTGTTGCTAAGGCCCGGCTTCCAGTTCATGGACGACCCAACGATGAAGGACGAGGCGCTGCTCACGGATGCCAACTACGGGTCAGTGAAGAGGGTGTTTGTGATCGCCAAAGCTGACAGAAGCTGCACAGAGGAGATGCAGCGGCGGACGGTGGACCTGAGCCCCGGCGCGGACGTCGAGGAGATCGCCGGAGCCGATCACATGGCCATGCTCTCCAAACCGACGGAGGTCTGTGAAGTTCTGCTCAGGATTGCCGGCAGGTACGACTGAGAAGAAGACGGACAGTGGACACTTCAGGCTGCTACGTACCTTTCAGTTCAAGTGTTAGAGGTACTAAGCGAATTTATCTGTAATCCGAGTGATCGCCCGCCCGTCGACAATTATACTGTGATTTGTTTTCTTCTCCCGTCGCTGATGCATGTGCCATGTGGAGTTGTTTTCGCCGATGGGCGACGGGACATGCACGTTTTCTTTAATCCGAATGTTTTCTTGGTCGCGTTCGACTGTTCTCTGCTTGCGCTTGTCCACAACTATATATGTATATACATAAACCCTTCCGCGGCCATAGCTAGTACATCCATCGTCAGCACACGGACTTGGCGAAAAACAAATCAAACCCAAGTTGGTCCACTCGGCGGCCCGTTGTGTAGCTGATAGCTCGTCGCTCGGGGGACGCCAGAAGATGGAATCCAGAGCCGATTTCTGGTCGTCCGTGGCATCGTGGTTTTGCTCTGGCTCCAGTGGGATGCCAGACTACTAAGAACCGGATTTTGGTTGTATCCTACTGGTATAATATGCAAGTCTCTCATCTTTTTTTGTTTTGCGAATCTTAGCACGACGCAGATATTCATACTGACGCGTCCACTCATGAACACACGTACACACTATCTACACCTATGTACATTCAATATTTTTTCGAAAGGACGGCAAAAGCTTTGCCGTGATTTCTATTAGACGATAAAAGAAAAAAAGGCAAATGCCCATCCAGTTTTTTGAGCGGAAACTGGGTCGAAAAACCATACAACTCAGGAGAGTGCACCACTTGTCCTGGCAACTTTTGTACAACAACTGGGCAACTATCACAACTGACACCACTACTTCATCCAACTTGGTCAGAACGACCCAACTAAACAACTCGACTATCAACTAACAAGGATCGAAGAAGACGACGTCCTGCCGAGCGACACCAAACAGTAAGGATCAATCACGAAACTGGAATGCCTATCCATGCCCCAAAAGAGGAAACGACGCTAAAAGCGCCGACATGGTAGCCCGCCAAGGAAGGTTTTCACCTGCAACATCCAGTACGGTAGGAGAAGAGGTAGGAAAGGACGCCTTCAAGAAGGGAACGACGTCTACAGACGTCGTCGTCCACGCTTTCGCCCCCACCTCAAACCACCTCCACACCGTCACCGCCAGAGGCCCAACCCTACCAGGAGGCAGGGTGCGGCGCCTAGACGCTGCCCCTAGGGACGCCGACCAGGAGAAGCGTCGGGGGAACCCGCCGGAGAGTCCACCCCCCACGGCAACCGGCAATGCCGGCCAGCAGCAGGCAGAACCGGCCAACTCCCCCATGAAAACCAGCCCGGGGAAGGGGAAAGGCAGATGGCAGGGAGAAGAGGGCCAGGATCAGAAAAAGCCCCAGTCGCCCAACTCACCAACGTCCCCACCCCCTGCCGCGCCGGCCCCGCAACAACCACGCCGCACAACACCTCCAGCAGCCTCCGTGCCGAACTGCCGCCGTCACGCCCGCTCCCCAGCCCTCCGCCTGGCCGGACTGGGAAAACACCATGACAACGCCTCCAACGAGGAAAACGGCACCCGAAAGCGTCGCCGTCAGCTTGCCGGCAGATCCGACATGGCTTTCGCCGGTGTTGCCCACGTCCAGCACAAACGAAACAGGGAGCCTTGAAGTCATGCCGCCCCTGCCCTCCACCACCGCCCCACGCCGCATCGACCGCATCGCCGCCAGCACCGGCGAGCTCCGGCCGGATCCGTATGGGCGGCAGCAGCTGCAGCCGCGGGATGGCCGGATCCGGAGGAAGGGGAGCCGGAGCCTTCTCTAGACGGCCGGGTAGCGTGCGCCCACCAGATCCGCCCTAGCCAGGCGGCCACCTCACAGACCCGCTGCTCACCTCGATCTCCGCGCCACCAACTGTTGCAGCACGACTCCCGCCGGAGCTCTGCACAGATCCGCCCTCGGGAGTGCCGGATCCGGCCGCCGGGACGCCGAATCCGTGCCGGGGCTGCCGCCGTCGACGAGCCTAGTGACGCTCGAGCAGCCATAGTAGACCACAGCTTGGGAAGAAACCCCGCCGCTGCCTTCCTTGCGCCCGCCCGAGCTTCCGGCGGCGCGCTCTGGCAGCGGCGAGGAAGACGAGGCCGGGGGGAGGTGTTGGCGGCGCCGGGCAGTGGTTCCGCCCGTGTCGCCCCGAGAGGGACGACGCGGGGGACGAGCGGGGTATCTTTTTAATTGTACATTCAATATTGTAATAAGTTTATATGTCTCAATTTGCAATGTCGTCTACCCTATATATACATTTAATATTGTGATAAGCTTATATCTCAATTTGCCATGCTCATGGTCATGGCTAATATACACGAAACAAACAACAAGACAATAGTTGAAAGCCCTTTCTTATCATGTCAAACTTGTCACGCACTGTTGGCTCCTCTTTTCCAAATCCGCATTCCCTTAAGATGTGTTACGCTGGCCACATCCGACTGAACGAGCCACTTAGTCACAAAAGAAAAGAAAAAAGACTGAACGAGCCACAATGATAGTAGCTGTCGTTTGACACACAAGAATGCTCAACAGCGGACCAATATATATGTAATCAAGCCACAATAGTAGCTCATCTCCTGTTGAGATTATTCGCACGTGTACAATTTGGAGCGCAGTCAAACCACGCGTGTTCGCGACCGAGAGCCCCAAGCAAAAACCAAACCTCTGGTCTGCTCACCAATGTGGAGAAGTGTCTCATCTCTCCTATACGTTGATTGCACCGAGGATGAGATCGCGCTGATCCAGCAGGTATTCCCGTGCCAGGCGTCGCCGTTCCCTTGTCGCTATTTGGGGGCACCGCTATCGGTGGTCAGGCTGCAGCGCGCCGTGGAGCAGCAGCTTGTAGACGCCGCTGCGAAGCGCATCCCGGCCTGGAAGGCCGGCCTACTTAACACGGCTGGCAGGTTGACGCTCACCCGGGCGACGCTTTCAGCCATACCCGTGCACATCTCTATCACGTGCTCGCTATCGGCGTGGGCTATCCGCAGATCGATAAGCGCCGTCGGGCTTTCCTGTGGTGCGGGATGGATTCGGTGGTTGAAGGAAATAAGTGCAAGATCGCGTGGCCTATCGTTGCAGTCCGAAATGCTACGGCGGCTTGGGACTAACGGACATCAGAGTTCTCGGCTTCGCCCTTCGCCTCCGTTGGGAATGGCAGAAGAGGGCTGTGGATGCGCCACCATGGACCAAGCTGCCGTCTAAGCCAGAGAAAATTGTGAGCGCCATGTTCAGCTGCTCCGTCGTGGTCGAGCTTGGCAACGGTGCTTCGGCTCGCTTCTGGACTGATTCTTGGCTGCCGGCCGGTCCAATTGCGGCCTTCGCCCCGCACTTGTTTCGCGCCATTGGTCGTCGCTTTCTACTGGTCTCCGTCCAGGAGGCGCTCTCCGGTCACCGCTGGGCGCCAGTACTGTATGAGTACGTCGATCTCTGGGAGAAGCTGGAGGGCGTTCAGTTGCAGCCGCTTGTGAGTGACCGCTTTGTTTGGCGATGGACGCCGGATGGCACGTACTCCGCGTCCTCGACGTACCGCTCGTTCTTCCCGGGCATGTCCTCCCTGTTGGGAGCCAAGGAGCTCTGGAAAGCTTCCGCGTCGCCGAAGGTGAAACTCTTCTTCTGGTTAGCCCTGCATGGTCGCAGCTGGACGGCAGACCGAAGGAAGAGGCATGGACTCCAGGACTCGGTGGAGTGCGCGCTCTGCGGCTAGGACGACGAGACGGTCGACCACTTGCTGGTCTCCTGCGTCTTCGCGAGGGAATTGTGGCACCGTCCCGGCGTCCCCTGCTTAGCTTTGGCTAGGATCGGTTCGCGCCGGCGCCGGGGGCAAGGCTCTCCGCTTGGTGGTTCGAGGTTTAGGCGGCAGGTGCCCAAAGAGCTGCGCAAGGGCTTCGACTCAGCGGTGCTCCTCGTCTCTTGGCGCCTGTGGAAGGAACGCAACTCCCGGGGGTTCGACAATGCGGCTGGCTCGCCGGCGCAAGCAGCACGACGGGTCTTTGAGGAGGCTGAGGAGTGGACCGCTGCGGGGTTCTCGGCCATTTCGTTGTTGCTAGCAGCCGCGCCAGTACCTTAGGGCTCCTTGCCTATTAGTCGCACAGTTGTTCACCATGTAGTGCGGGTCTGTAACGCCACCACGGTGGTCTTGTTGTTTGTTTCCCTCGAGGCGTCTCGCATTCGGCTAGTTGTCAACTCTACTCCTTCTTAATAAAATTCACACGTGAAGTCGTGTTCTAGACAAAAAAAAAAAACTTTAACTGGCAAGTTGGTGTCCTGCCTTGCTTCTTTTGACCACACAAGTATGAATTGCTATTCAAAAGGATACAACGTAGAAAGCACACGAGAGACTGGACTAGTGGAGGACAACCACACCACACATAGGAGGAAAAAAAAATCTCCCATGACAAGGACATATCGTTGTTCACGGCTAACACCACCGTCCATCAATTGCCTGTACTCTGACCTTCATTTTACAAGCGTATCCGAGATCCAATCGACGCCCGCCAACACTCATTTAGAGGAGAAAAAACCTCAAAGGAGGGAGAGCCGACTGAAGGACGGCAAGGAGATTCAAGAGAGGGGAGACAATGCAATCAAAGATCATAGATGATGGTAGAGCAAAGAAAATAATAGCGAATACTCACCGATTAGAAACTTGTGCAAACATCAAGGAGAAACGGGATTTGATCACCTAATACCACAACATTGAATGTTCACATAGCTAACACTAAAGTTGTAGTGGCCGACCTGATCTACATGTTTGTTTTTGATAAGTTTTTAATTTAAAGTTTTTAAGTTTCTCAAATATTTAATACAAGATTATAAAATATCTGCAAAAAAGAGAATCTTGTATATAATTACAAGTGAGTGTGTGGTGTAATGTTAAATAGATATTATTGCCGAGTAGTAGGTCGTGGATTTAAGTCGTGAGAAGGACCGCCGGAGGCTAAAACTAGACAGGGAGAGCAACACAGAGCGGTTGCATTGCATCGCCGCATCCCTGGTGTGTAGCTCTGTTGAGTGAGAGGGGACCGGATCAACTATAGAGGCCCAGTCAGGCAGCACCGCAGGCTATCGTGGCCACCAAAGACGCCAGCCAAGTCCAGGTGGCCGTGATCAGCAGAACACAACCAAGTCGTTGACCCGCCGATGGCCAAGAAGGAACCACCGTTCGAGCTCCATAGAGGCCCACTCATGACAGAATTGTTCTCTTATCCAGTAAACGCAAACCATCTGCCACGAATTGATCAACACTTGTTTTCTTGCAGAAGGTGATGACCGACGATAAAAAAACACAGTGGCAACCAGCACCGTGCCTCTGTATAAACAAAAGGCCCTGCAGGCGGCACACCAGCACGGTGAATATATCCGAAGCAGACAAGATCAATCGATCGCAAACTCTGCAGTACTCCACGCCAACGCGAAGCCATGGAGGCCGGCGGCGGCGGCAAGCACTTCGTGCGGGTGCACGTCCTCTGCCTCGGCGCGTGGAGCTGGTACAAGGTGGCCACCGCGCTCGAATCCGCCGGCCACCACGTGACGGCGCTGGACCTTGCGGCGTCGGGAGCGCACCCGGCGCGCCTCCACGAGGTCCGCTCCTTCGAGGACTACTCGCGCCCGCTGCTGGACGCGGTCGCCGCGGCCCCCGACGGCGACAGGCTGGTCCTCGTCGGCCACAGCCACGGCGGCGCCAGCCTCGCGCTCGCCATGGAGAGGTTCCCTCGCTGCCGTGGGTCGGCAAACACATCGGCGTCGGCACCGAGGCGGTACACACACTCACGCACCAGCCATTGTTTCACAAGTATATGCCTCTAGCATGATCAGCTCATGTCAAAGTTGAAATTTTTGTTGTGGTGAATGCTTGCAGTTCATGAAAAAAGCTGCTTCCAAAGGGCTGCTCATGGACTGCCAAATGGTGGCCATCACCGGCACCGGCAGTGAAGATGCCAGTGGGCAGCAAGGGACGGCGATCGTGATGGGTCCAAAGTTCTTGGAGAAGTGCTACAAGGAGAGCCCGGCGGAGGATGTGACCCTGGCGAAGCTGCTGGTTAGGCCCGGCAACCAGTTCATGGACGACCCGGTGATGAAGGACGAGGCGCTGCTCACGGCCGCCAACTACGGGTCGGTCAAGAAGGTGTTCGTGGTCGCCAAGGCCGCCCATGGCTCCAGCACCAGCACCGAGGAGGTGCAGCGCTGGATAGAGGCCACGAACCCCGGCACGGAGGTGCAGGAGATCGCCGGCGCCGACCACGACGTCATGAACTCCAAGCCAAGGGAACTTTGCGACGTCCTTGTCGGCATAGCCAGCAGATACGACTAAGAATATGATGACGACGACTATTCTTGCGCGTGTAGTAGTTGACTGGTGTTTTTTTTTCTTCCGAAAATTACGTGTAGTAGACAACCTATGTATGTCAAATTGTCAGTAAACACTGCTATATTATGAGTAAATAAAATACTTGCGTTTCCATGGCCATTGTCTTCTCACTTGCAAATTCTCGCTCGATTTTTCTCCCATCTCCAGAAGGGACTCTATAAATAGAGTCGCTACTCTATTTTTTAGGCTAGAGAAAAAAAACTTGACCTAAAGGCTTTCAAACCAGGTCCGTATTTTATGAAGGTCCTCAAATCAGTCCCTTCTCTATGTTTTTTCTGTAGGGAAAAAATTTCTCTCATCAACTCCCTGCTGCGTGTCTTTTTGTTTCCATCCGACTCTCCCACGCCATCGCCACCTACAAACCCTCCATCTCCATATCCATCTAAATGGGGAAGAAGCGGCATCGCTGAGGGTAAACGGGGAAGAAGTGGCGTCTTCGGATCAACGTAGCTAGGGAAGAAGTGGCATCGCCAGATCAGGGTCCAAGGCTACTGGAGCCATCCTCCTTTGTCTGCCGCCTCCCTCGGCATGGCTCGCCCCGTCATACTCCTTCCCCAACACGATGGGGCTCCTTCCATGTCTGCCACCTCCCCCAGCGTGGCTCTCCCCACTAAAGATACTACTCCCCCTGCGCGGCTCCTCTGCCCCAGCGCCAACAAGCATAGCTCAGTCAAGGAGGGCGAGAAAAAGAAAAAGAGGAGGACAGGGAATGACAAGTAGGTCCCATATATCAGTATCTATTGGAATGGACTTAAGGGTCTTGATTTAAGAGCTTCTGCTAGAGTAGATGAAAAATTAGACCCTCAAAAGTAAAGGAAGACTTTGTCGATGTTTCACCATCGATAGCCTGCCACGGGGGTACCCGGGGCAGTATGTTCGGGCTTCAGCGTATGCAGAACTCGACGGTAAACGCAAGAGACGGTCGATTTATCCTGGTTCGGGCCCTCGATTGTGATCGAGTAAAGTCCTACGTCCAGTCGGCGTTAGCCTTTGCGTTGGATTGATGGTCCAGTGTTCTCTCTAGAGTCCTTTGCCTAGGAACCCCGCCCTCCTTTATATAGTCAGGAGGCCAGAGTCGTAGTCGGTTTATAATGAGAGTTCATAGTAGGATTACAGAATAATACTACTACTAAGATTGCATAGAAAGAATCCTAGTTAGACTAGATCTTTCCTCTTCCATGCGGGGTATCCCGTGGGTCCCGCATCGACAAGCCCCCGAGCACTTCATGGTTGAGTTTTGGAAGCCTCGTCTTGTTCCTTCAGGTCTTGCCGTGTAGGAACAAGTGTTGTCCGAGTGCTTTCTTGAGCGAAACCGTGTAGCGCTTCGTGAGATCTTCGAGTGGTGTGTACTTTTTTTTTGAAAAAAGTGCTTCCATCTAGGTGTAGCCCCTGAGCCTCTTGCTATTTGAAACAAGGAACTGGAGGGTCTTGTCTTGAATTTGCTATGATTCTTCGTTGAAGGGCTTCCGAGCATATTCCCGGGTTCTTTATCAAAAAGAACTCAGATGTAGCTCGGTCTGGGTTCTTTTTGCCGTGAGGCCTTGAAGTGGTCTGTCTTGAAGAAGTCTTCTTGGTGACGTGCGCTTTTTTGAAGGAAAAAGTGCACTCACTAAGTGTAGCCCCCGAGCCTCTTGCTATTTGAAACAAAAAGTTGGAGGGTCTTGAATGTTATGTTGTTTGATAATTCCTGTCTTGAAGAAGTCTTCAAAAAAGCGCACTCACTGAGTGTAGCCCCCGAGCCTCTTGCTATTTGGAACAAAGATCTGGAGGGTCTTGAATCTAAGTTGTTTAAAGAACTGAAAACCTCTTCTGTAGTAGCCCCCGAGCATTATTCAAAAAGAACTCGGATACAGGATCTTGACATATTCTCTGGTAGTCTGCTGTTGTCAGATGTAGTTGTATGGTGGTGGTTGAGTGTAAATGTCATTTGTTCACGAGTTGTACAGTGTTGGTATATTCTTCTGAATATGCTCGTTCTTGAGTACTGTTCCTTCACGCCTGAGTCCTCTTTCATTGAATTCTGTCTTTTCACTGTGTCCTTTGTTAGGTTTGTTCCGTTGGTGATCCCGGTCCATGTGCACCGCTTCTTTGGCCTATAAATATCCTCTTTGTGTGCTGTTTTGATTCATCAAGAGTTTTGTTGCGTGGTCTGAAATCTCCGTAGTCATGAATATGATAGTTTGTGAAGTAGAGCAGCCCCCGGGCATAATTTGTAGATCTTGTCGTAGCTGGAGGAAGACTTGTGATAGGGATTAGAAGTAGACTAATCCCATAGTGGCATTGTACCGGGAAGTATGTGGCGGTAGTTGGAGAAAGTCTTGTGATGTGGGATACGTTCCTTCATCCAGCAGTTCTGGGTTGATCCTCGTCGCCTGCCCTGAGACTGTCCGGTGCAGATCAACACCATATCCAGCATCACATCGGACTTGGGTAGACAGATGCCTGCAGGCTTCTCCTGGTCCATGTTGTCCCGCCATGCTGCTGATTTCCCCCTTGGATGTGCTGCGTTCTTCCTTTGAAGAAAACAGTGTAGCCGAGTGCGGTTTGTTCTACCGAGTAGCAATTTGGAACACGTAGTCGTTCCAGAGCCTAGTTGTGTCTGGGTTCCTTTTTGCTACCTTGCTTGTCGTAGTACCGAGTTCGTTGGGTCTTGTAAGATGTGTAATTTTGTATTTTTTAAGCCATTTGTAATGGAAAGAATCTTGTCTTCTGAGTTGTCATTCTTTTTCCTGCTGATGTCCTGGTTGTTTATGAGATTCCCGAGTTCTTTCTATAAGAACTGGGTTCTTGTGTTTCTTGTGAGGTAACCCTTCGTTGCTTCATGGTTGATGAGTTCTTTTTGTAGCAATATGATAAGTCTGCCGTGGTGCTGGATGAATAAGTCTGAAATCTGGCTGTTGAACTGAACCGTTGTGTAGAAGCATGCCATCCGTCATTTCAGTTGTGTCAGTCGTGGTGAGAAATGAATCGTTGCATTCTCATGCCATGTTTAAACGGGCCTGGTGGACCGCGTTTTTATTGCTGTAAAATCTATTTAAAGGCCCTTCTTTTTCTTTTTCTTTTCTGCCCTGCTTTTGCCTTGAAAACCCTAGTCTTCAAAACTCCGCCGCTGCCATTGTTGTCGTCCTCTGAGCGCCGCCGTCTGAGCCTCACTATTTTTTAGTGCTTTGTTGCTTTCGCTAGTATATGGGTAGGAAGAAATCAGCGAGCAAGTCCCAGACAACCTTTGTAGACGAGGAGACTTCGCTTTCTGTGATTGAAAATCAAGAATTCATGGCCATGAGGGCTGCTCAGAAGATCTGGCCAGCTCCGACTACGACTGAGGATCAGTTGCGCGAGCTTGTCAGTGATGGTTTGATCCAGGGCAAGGAGTTTGCTGATTGGAAAGCCCCAGGCCAGCATCGGGTCCCAACTCCAGGTTCTGATGAGATTATTCTTTTTGTCTCTTTTATCCGTGCTGGACTCTGCCTTCCTGCTTCTGCTTTTCTTCATCGATTTCTCAGTTATTTTGGGATTAGCTTGAACCATCTTGCTCCCAATGCTGTCCTTCATCTTTCTATTTTTGTTCATCTTTGTGAAACTTTTCTTGGAATTCCTCCTTCTCTTTCTCTCTTTCGTTACTTCTTTCGTCTGAAGCCACAACCCCGCCGCGATGACACCAATGTTCTTGGTGGCTGCGGTATTCAGTTTTGTCAGGGTCTTAAGAGTAAATTTTTTGATTATGACTTGGTTGATTCTATGAGGGATTGGCATGCCGACTGGTTTTATGCCACCAATTTGATTCCTCCTCTTGCTGTTCATTCTGGTTCTGGTCCCGTGGTTAATGACCGATGGGAAAAAAAACCCCTGACGACGGATGAGCTCTAGGCAATCAAGCCGTTTCTTGAGAGGATATGTACTCTGAAACAGCAGGACTTGACCGGCTTCGGGATTGTTTCCAGTTTTCTTCGCCGCCATGTTCAACCTCTGAAGGAGCGAGAAAATTATGGTTTTGAGTACTCTGGGGCGGAGGATCCTTCTCGTATGGTCCCTGCCCTTGAGTTGACTGATGAGGAGGTGCTCGAGCGCCTTCAGAAGATGTTGAAAGGAGTAAGCGTCGTTCCGCATGCTGTCCTTGAGTATTGTGCTAACAACCCGCCTCCTGCTGTAAGTTGTTTTTTCTTATGCGGGTACTTTTTGTATTTCCTTTGCTGTCTCCACTTTTTGCTTAATCTTTCTTGTCTGGTTGTTTTACTCTTTTATAGGAATTGGGGCGTAACTTCGTTGATCCAATCCCCCTTGATGACTGCCCTGCCATTGCAGAGACTGGGGAGAGTCTTGCTGGGGCATCTTTAACCAGTAAGTTTCAAACCACCATGATGTTTCTTGGTGTTTCTTCCACAGTTCTTGACGTATATGTAGAGTATGTTCCTTGTCCAGTTCTTCGAGCTCCTCGTAGTGTTGGAAAAAGCGAGCGAGCGGATTGTTCTTCTTCTGGTTTGTCTGCCACCAAGAAGTCTCGCCAGTCGAGTGCTCATCTAGATACTCAAGTTATAGGTAGCGTGCTCCTAGGTGAGCATATTAATACGCTTTATCTTCTTGTTGTTTGTTTGTGCCTTTAACCGAGTACTTTCCTCCTTTTTCAGATGGCGTTGTGGTTGCCATGTTGGAGAGTGAGGAAGTTGAGGATGATGATGCAGATCTTGTCACGCGTCGGTGAGTTGTTTTCTTGTTTTTCTGTTGTTGAACACCTCTTTTTGTTCTTACTTTTGGTCTTGTTCTCTTGTAGCAAGCGGTCGTCGAGCTTGAGTTCTTCTGGGGCTCCGGTACCGACCACGCCACTCTTGTCGCAGAGTGGTGGTGATATTTTTGCTGCTATAGTTCCCCCTCTAAGATCTTCTGTTCATCTTGGGGATTTTATGAAGAAGAAGATAGCTAAGTGAGTGAATCCTGGTTATGTTTCT